TTTTGCCACTATGGGAACCCGTCCATCAAGTCCTGGGTGAGAAAGGGACACATTATTCACGATTTTGGTTTGTCATTGGCCATGGATGCCTCTTGCAAAATTTTATTGAAACTATAGTGTTTTTGAGAAAAAGTTTCAGTCCGGTGATCTAAAAATACCTGCATCAGAGCTACAATGGGACTGGATTACCTTAAATAGGCACAAATACTGAATCACTAATAAGTTGTATGCTTTAATCATAGATTCCCCCAACTTCTTTTACTCCGTTTTGTCATCATTTTACCAAAACATACCCACAAGACACCAAACCATGTCTAATGAAATCACTGGAAGGATACATTTTGGATGCCAATAGGAATATACTGCCGTTATACATGCATAAAATTTTATGCATTTTTCATAATTTGGAAACAAGTAAAAGAAGGAGACAAGAAACTCTCCAACCCGCATTGTTCAAGTGCTAATGATGGCGGCCTGTCAGAGGCTAAGACCCTGGGTTAGTAGGGATCAGAACTCTGTGTTCCGTCACATCTGTTTCCATACAAATGTGTAAGCTACTGGAAAGACAGAGTCTGGGGTCTGGTATACCAGCCATCGTCCAGGATTAGAGGGCATGCCACCAATCACATCCCTGACTCCATAGCTGTGATGGCCTGACCCTTGTATTCCTGGCGTTATATCTGTAATAGCCTGACCCTCTGAACGGTGAGGTTGTCATCCTAGTCACCGACAGGTCCACCTTACTGATACAAGTGTCTGACAAAGTCAATACATATCGATGTTATATAACAAGTTGAGCTATTTATATATAAACATGTTATTCCCTTAGCCTGCAGGATTGCAATGCACTTTGAATTTAGTCAGAACATCCTTAATGGATAATTGATACAAAACTAAACATCTTGGCTTTAAATAATACAACATTTCAAAGAAATTAAACTACCTTTGTTAATATGCTGCAAACAGAAACTGTCATATGGAATGCTCTTCCAACAGACAGGTACACCCTCAGAATTCTGGGTACATGGAGAGGCATGGCTGTGACATCATGCTCACCAAATCCCCCAAAGTGGAAAGAAACGTAACAATCGAGGCTGGGAAGTTAAGGAAGGCAGAAGGATGGAGATGATAGAGATTATAGCAGGAACACATCAAGGAAACAGTAATTATAGCTCCTGTACAGACCCAATCAGTTTTTGACATGCAAATATTACATTGTTAACCTTGGGGTCACCTCTGTGATGCCATCTCACCCTCTGACGAGGAGCAATTCTGCCAGGGTGACACTTCTATTGACTCCAGATCAATATCCTGTCCTTCCCAATCACAACCTGATCACATGTCTCACCATATCATAATCATAGCAACGCCATGGTAACGCTATTACACCGACATCCATCTATCATAATACAAACATATAGACAAGATGTAACTAAATTAATGACCGCTGGTATCACCACAGCTTTCATCTCATCCCTACACAACACCCTCATGAACTGTCATTTTTTCCATTGAAAATTCGCATAAAATCTCATCAGAATTTCTTCACTGGGTTTATCTCATTTTAAATAATAAAGAAGACTTCCCCGTCAATTCTCAATATAAAAGATGTTCAGATTTTATTTCTATGTAATATTCAAGTGTTGTACAATTCTTCCAAGCATACTTCTTCGTGTAATTTGAATCGATAAGGAACGGCAGAATTTTTCCAATATCACTACGAAAACTGTCAGAATTTGCATCCCCAAATTGAACTAAGTCCCTATCTGAATGCCTCATATTAGATATTATGTCATGTAAGACCCTATTTTGTTCATAATTGACAGCGTGCCATCCTTTATTCAGCTACAGATGAGAACTGAAATTAAATGAGTGTTTGCCATGTATGGTGAGCCCAAACCCGTCATTCCCACACGATTGTGGCGAAAGCTTGAACGACCAAGTGAATAAATGTAGCATAAAAGACACAGTGCGCTGCAAATTTTGTAATTTCAAAATTTTTATTTTTTTCTCTCAAGGGTATGAACATTTAACACAGATAAATTGACTTTTTAACCAAGAAATGATTGACTTCATTTTTTTCCATGCAGAATGTTAACCAGCCTTGCAGATTATGTAATTATTGAGTTCAGAGCCTGGCACGTTCAGCCACCATCGGTATATACTGACAATAACACTTACTTTACTTGACATTATATTTCAAGTTACTAAGTTGTGTTGGGAGTCATTTATGAATTTAAACATCTCACGAATATTTGCTTTTACACATTACAGTTAAATGTATCATTGACAGCTTTGTCATGTACAATCACAAAAATCAACTGTTTGCAGAAAATACCAAATTACATTATCTCCTTACACACATTCAAAGGGACCAAGTTGGTCATTGATTTTCAAACAATAGTCTATCAATATCAATGTAGGTATGTGGGATATGGAAATTCTAAACCAGATGATGCACCTGAACAAAACCTTTAACCAAATGACGTCATTAAATACACTTCATACCAGTTACTTCCCTAATCCTGAACTGTTAACATAATTTACTACTCAATAAATTAAATGTAAATAAGATTCTAATTAATTTTGATAATTAAAGAAGTTTCAGGACCTGTTGTTTCCCATCATATCTCTTTCAATTGTCAATGTTGCTGAAGACACCTTTATGCTGCTATATATAGTTTGTTTTCAGCCCTACCTGAACATAACAGGTAAAAATGATAGGTAGATTTAATTAGGTTAAAAATATGCAAAAAATGTTTGTGTTCTTTTGAATTCAACAACTATTAATCATGCATCTTCAAAAAAAATATCTTTTAAAGAAACAGATACCATGTAAGGTATATCTGAACATATCGCCATACAGGTAAGTCAGAGTGGTGAACCTAGACAGGTAAAACAAATGGTTGTTTCTGTCACGATTTCTGCAATATTTGGAAGCTATCACCCAGCGAAATAATCAAGTTTTCTTGCATAATTTTCTGGTAAGTAATTTAGGTCATTTTATTTCCGTAAAGTTATTTGATTTCCGTAAAGTTATTTGATTTCCCATTTGAAAGACTGTACAAAGGTTTCTAAGTTTGACTAATCCAAAATGTGATTGTTTTCATCACTCACTTATTAATTACCCAATAGATACATCTGTTCAAAGTCTGGCACGTCAATATCGGTTCCATTACTTGATTCAAAAAGTCTCTCACTAATCTCATGTCATTGTCATCTAAATTGACTGTCAAAACTTTCATCACAGCCTGAGTCTGTATCTTTTGCCATTGTTTTCAATGATCACGAAATCTGTCAGGATAGTCTTAAAAAAAATCCTCAATATCACAGTAATTCTCAGAAACAATGACCAGTTAGCATCAATGTTTTACAGGAAGTTCAAATGCTGCGAGAACTCAGAAATCTCGCAGATACACAGGGTTCCCAATAGACCTTTGAGAGTATGATTTTCAATCGCCAAAAATAGCTTTGACTCTTAGATTGACTCTCCCTGTACATGACCAACCTCCATCTATAGGGCCAAATAGGTTAAAATTAACAAATCTCCTTGGGAAGTTTCAGGCAATAGGAGCAAAAAAGGCATATAAATATACAACTCCACAAACTATTTAACACACTCACAACTCCACTAACCATTTAACACACTCACAACTCAACTAACCATTTAACACACTCACAACTCCACTAACCATTTAACACACCCACAACTCCACTAACCATTTAACACACTCACAACTCCACTAACCATTTAACACACCCACAACTCCACTAAACATTTAACACACCCACAACTCCACTAACCATTTAACACACCCACAACTCCACTAACCATTTAACACACCCACAACTCCACTAACCATTTAACACACCCACAACTCCACTAACCATTTAACACACCCACAACTCCACTAACCATTTAACACACCCACAACTCCACTAACCATTTAACACACCCACAACTCCACTAACCATTTAACACACCCACAACTCCACTAACCATTTAACACACCCACAACTCCACTAACCATTTAACACACCCACAACTCCACTAACCATTTAACACACCCACAACTCCACTAACCATTTAACACACCCACAACTCCACTAACCATTTAACACACCCACAACTCCACTAACCATTTAACACACCCACAACTCCACTAACCATTTAACACACCCACAACTCCACTAACCATTTAACACACCCACAACTCCACTAAACATTTAACACACCCACAACTCCACTAACCATTTAACACACTCACAACTCCACTAACCATTTAACACACTCACAACTCCACTAACCATTTAACACACCCACAACTCCACTAACCATTTAACACACCCACAACTCCACTAACCATTTAACACACCCACAACTCCACTAACCATTTAACACACCCACAACTCCACTAACCATTTAACACACCCACAACTCCACTAACCATTTAACACACCCACAACTCCACTAACCATTTAACACACCCACAACTCCACTAACCATTTAACACACCCACAACTCCACTAACCATTTAACACACCCACAACTCCACTAACCATTTAACACACCCACAACTCCACTAACCATTTAACACACCCACAACTCCACTAACCATTTAACACACCCACAACTCCACTAACCATTTAACACACCCACAACTCCACTAACCATTTAACACACCCACAACTCCACTAACCATTTAACACACCCACAACTCCACTAACCATTTAACACACCCACAACTCCACTAACCATTTAACACACCCACAACTCCACTAAACATTTAACACACCCACAACTCCACTAACCATTTAACACACTCACAACTCCACTAACCATTTAACACACTCACAACTCCACTAACCATTTAACACACCCACAACTCCACTAACCATTTAACACACCCACAACTCCACTAACCAAACATAATGTGTTTACCACATTCCTGCCATCTTAACTTTTCTCATAACTGGTAACAGATAAAGATGTTACTTACTGTCCACTGTTGCCATTCCCCCAGGCATAGATCTCATTGGAATCTGTAAATAAATGAAAGCCTCCATTAGTTATGTTGAATTGTAACCCTTTACTTGCTAAAATAAATATTTAAACTCTATAATTCAGATTAATCAAGAACATTTTTAATGAAATTAAACATTGAGAGGGCAGTTACATATAAGGATAGAATTTTTTAACAATAATAATCTTACGTAGGCTCAGATCTTAATACACTAGTAACTCTTTCACTTGATGAAATAAAACACTGTATAGTTTCAACCAAAAATTGTAGTATATACATGTTTCATCAATGCAATTACCATGCAATTAAATATAAAAAAGTGCCTGTTGCCTCATTACAAAACATACATTACAGAAGTTGAGATTCAATTTTGTTTTAAGATTTATAAAACAACCACGTCTAGCAGTTTTGATTGTTGTGAGCCTATCTGAAGTTAAAATAACAAGAAATGTCATCAAACATGAAGGACATGACAACCAATCAGAATTTTTACAAAAACAATTTTTTAACATGTTACCCAAGTACAAGATATATACTAGCCCCTTTCTACTGTCTAGGCTAGAGGGAATACCTCTAGCTCATTCTGTAGAGTGCAATACTAGTAAAGTTTAAGTCCTTGGTTCAACTCCTAGCAGATTACTGCCATATATTCTGGATATTAAGTTATTAACTCCCCCAAAATGGTTCAGGCCTAAGAAGTTTGTCAGTGGTTCAGGTCTCAAAATGCAGTCACATGTTCCCTCCAGGGTGGTTCATTCATCAGAAAGGCTTTCACAGGTGCAGCTACAGAGTGGTTCAGGCCTCAGAAAGGCTGTCAAAGATCCTCTCCAGAGTTGTTCAGGCCGCAGAAAGGCTGTCAAGGTCCTCTCCAGAGTTGTTCAGGCCTAAGATAGGCTGTCAATGGTCCCCTCCAGAGTTGTTCAGGCCTCAGAAAGGCGGTCAAAGGTCCTCTCCAGGGTTGTTCAGACCTCAGAAAGGCTGTCAATGGTCCCCTCCAGAGTTGTTCAGGCCTAAGATAAGCTGTCAATGGTCCCCTCCAGAGTTGTTCAGGCCTCAGAAAGGCTGTCAATGGTCATCTCCAGAGTTGTTCAGGCCTCATAAAGGCTGTCAAAAGTCCTCTCCAGAGTTGTTCAGGCCTTAGATAGGCTGTCAAAGGTCCTCTCCAGAGTTGTTCAGGCCTTAGATAGGCTGTCAATGGTCCCCTTCATAGTTGTTCAGGCCTCAGAAAGGCTGTCAAATGTCCTCTCCAGAGTTGTTCAGGCCTCAGAAAGGCTGTCAAGGTCCTCTCCAGAGTTGTTCAGGCCTAAGATAGGCTGTCAATGGTCCCCTCCAGAGTTGTTCAGGCCTCAGAAAGGCTGTCAAAGGTCCTCTCCAGAGTTGTTCAGGCCTTAGATAGGCTGTCAAGGTCCTCTCCAGAGTTGTGCAGGCCTCAGAAAGGCTGTCAAAGGTCCCCTCCAGAGTGGTTCAGGCCTCAGAAAGGCTGTCAAAGGTCCTCTCCAGAGTTGTTCAGGCCTCATAAAGGCTGTCAATGGTCCAGGCATTCCAAAGATGGGTATTGCAAATTCTCTACCCACGGGACAATATCATAAATCCCAAAATATGAGCAGCTATTTGTGATTTTTTTTCTTTTTCATTTTAATAAGTTTAGAAAAGTCACAAAAATATAATTGCAGTACATTTATTTTATCAGTGTATTTTATCAGTGTATTGAAATAAATAGCACCATCCTCATAATTCAACAATTATTTCAATAATGCTACTCCTCTCCGCTCTTCCTGTTTAACATTATAGCTGACCTTGACCTTGGTACTTGTGTTAACCAGCACCTTTAAACAAATTTTTTAACTAAAACATTTTAAATTGGCAAAAATCAAAGCACCTTTAGCATTAAGAACATCAGATGACTTATGACCAATTGGCATGAAAACACTTTTAAAAGTGTTTCAACAGCAATTTAAACAAATGATCTACAATCTGAATAAATTCCCTACTTAAAAATAATTTAAGTTCTGAACATATAAATCCTACTTTTATTCAACCTGGGGTTTGACAACCACAAGCCACCCCAGAGTGCCACAAGCCACTTAAATGTGGGCGAGTTAGAAGGTAGGACAATGGGTGGCAGACAAGGGACAAGACGAGCCACTTTGCATGTCATACAATGAGATCTAAAACCGCTTTGCATGTTACGAGTTGCCTAACCATGGCCCCAAGTGAGAGGGAGAGAATTTATCATCACCGCATGCCTGTGTGTATCCCTTCTCCATGGCGGCCCGGCCAGAGATCAGGGCATGTGACAGCACCGCAGTCGCCCGATCCCCACACGTCAACGGCACTACAGACCCACGACTCGCACAAAGACGTTATGACAATCATAATCCCGCATCATGATTCCGGTCCTCACGGACTAATATTGTGTAGAAATTGCCAATAAAGATTGATCTCATATGATGAAGGGCCATATTTGTCAAGAAAAACCATTCTGCCCTGCAATTCATTTCATCACTGAAATATTTAGGAGGCGTAATTATCAGGCCCGTGTCTGTACCAGGTCGCGTATTACAGGAGAACAAATTTGACACAGGCCTCTGGATCAGGTCTAAGTATCCTCCTACCGTGTAATCATACCAATTACCACCTATAAAAAATGTACAAAGATAAAAGCCCTAGATATCTGCACTTTGTCACCAGCTCATAACAAGTCGCATCCACACGCTATTATCTCAACCCAATCTGCCCAAAATGACATCTCCAATCGTCCAGTGTGCATCTCTACAGCCAGGCAATCATAAAAAAACGACACATGGCGATGACTAGCAAACATCCCTATTGAATTTTTTATCTACTCTTTTTGCTCCAGCATTTCCCAAACCACATGATAAAGATTGAAAGCAAATTACATGCAGCTAAACTCTGTTCCGTGGAGAGAAAAACAGTATCACAACAGATTAGATTGTGTGGAGGCTCTAAACGCTACAACAAATCCATGTAAAGCCTCACAAAGTGGAATGATGTTAAACACTATATGGCCCCTTATATATTTCCTTCAGTCTGTCAATGGTTTCTGGTTTATAGTTGTCTTACCAGAATACAATCTTTTAAGGTAGTATGAGCACCTTGATTTTGTCAAACACTTTCGTCTGTACCCTGTATTTTCTACTCTTAATGCTCACTATACATATATTACACCAAATATAAGTAACATACTTGTAGAATTAAGATATGACTACGAATTAGATACAAAATTAAGACACAGGTAGAAATTACTAGTAAATTAAGAAATGATGGTCTTCTGTTACAATTAGATAGGACTATAGACAATGAACACATACAATGTCTCTATACATTTTCCTTATAAAGATATCACAACAACTCTCTAATAGTATTGAAGATATTTTAATAGTATTTAAGATATGAGTAAATTTAACAGTATATTAAGATATGACTTCAAATTTAATAGTATACATGTATTAAGATGACCATACATTTAACTGATGGGGTCAAAATGGTCCCCCTTTTTACATAGGAAAAATACTGTGACTTTACTTTCAACACATATACACCTGAAAGGTTTGGGTATTGTTATTCTTAAGGAACGGACTCTCAAACTCTTAAACCAAGAAATATCTGTGTTAATGACGTAGGGTTGTTTGAGTGTGATTTTATGAAATATAGGAATCCGCATAAACTTTTAAAGTGTCGAGGCAAAACCATAAAAGTCTTCTTTTTTTTAAATAAGCTTTTTTGCACAATTTAATTTCTAATTGAAGCTGAATGAAATCTGAAATAAAAGTGAAAAAGTACAAAATACTGTACAAATGTGTGACAAAATATTCTCATTAATATGTAAAATAATTCACACATGAAAAGAAATGGACAAATCAAAATTATCAACTCAAAATTTATTATTTTGAAATTATTGTCACAGAAGAGTGTTAAAAAATGTAAGTATTTATTGAATTTTTGCCAGTGAAATATTGGATTCTATCATCTTGATGAAACTGATATCTTTCACACTGTGACAAATATCAAAAGTGGTATTTTCACAGTGTGAAATTATCACTTTTTGGTATTGACCAATTATAACAGTATCTTCTATTCGCTGCATTCAAAGGCAACAATTTTTTGTTCAGATTCAATTGAAGCGACGGTAGAATAAGTGGTTGTTATGGTAAATGTTGGGTACACACACTTAAGTACTTACATAAATATACAATTAATAAAAAAAAATTGAAATCATACCAGAAAATAACAGAAAAAATCGGAATTGCATTGAGTATCCCATTCAAAATGGCACGCAGCCTTGTTGTCAAGCGTGACGTCATTGGAATATGGCGCTAATCATTACGCTTCAGATTCCCACCCTTTTTTAATGCATTACATTTTTCATGTTTTATGCTTTAAAAATGAAGTAAATAGAAAATGTAATGGCGTCTTCAGTAATAACAAATATAACTCACTCGTGTGGCCAATATTACACTATATTTGTTATTACTGAAGACACCATTAAATATCCTCTATTCCCTCTGTTAAAAATCTAATTAAAAGTAATAAATTTTAACATCAATGTATAAAAAGCAGTCAAGCTTACAAGACATAAGGACGAAAGATGTTTTCCAGTTTCACAATCATTGTGCGTAATGACGGTGAGCAAGCTCCTGAACCTCAATATCATTGTAGTGTAATCATGTGCCCAGATATATCAGTGCCACCATTAAGTGAGCTGGTCACATGGTGAGTTCCAATTTCACTATTACTGCACTGTAATAATGTGCCCAGATATATCAGTGCCATCATTAAGTGAGCTGGTCACATGGTGAGTTCCAATTTCACTATTACTGCACTGTAATAATGTATCCAGATATATCAGTGCCACCATTTAGTGAGCTGGTCACATGGTGGGTCTTTGCCTCAACATTATTGTGGTATAATGATAAGATACATCAGTGGTATAATGATAAGATACACCAGTGGTATAATGATAAGATACACCAGTGGTATAATGATAAGATACACCAG